TGGACCTTATCACCAAATTTGAAAAACCAATTACCTTCTGCAAACCTGATGAGTAAAAGTAAAATAAAAAACACTAATGCAATTAAACTTCATAAATTCAAAAAAAAAGGTAGAAATAGAAGAAATTGACAAAATAGACAAAGGTGCAACACAAACTCCATAGTCCTCATAAACAAAATGAAGCTATAAGTAGAAACATTTTGGCATATATCTCATCTTGGCTCCCCCAAGTTCCTAAGTCCGATGAGAAAGATTGACACAGAAGTGAAGTAAGTTAGGCCGTTCATGGGGCCCACCACATCCAAAACCCCTTTCAAGGCCTTGAGGCGTGCACAGTCAGCCATTTTCATCAGCTTCAACAGGCGGCCCCTCAACATTTGGAGTGCCACGTCAACCATTTTGTCGACCTTATCCATGGCCGCGGGGCTCCCGCTTCTGTCGGCCTCCATTCCCATACGCACCAGCTCCAACATTTTGGGGTCTGCAGTGGCCAAAATGTGTAGACTCCGCATCTCACTCTCCACTTTCTCCTCTTCCGTCTTTATCTCGAATCTCACACGTGCCATCTTATGCCTCTGCTCATTACTCAACTTTAATGAATCTGCCAGCTGGAGAGCAGAGGAGGGCTTCCACCCGGTGACCCACGTGCGGGCCTTCTCGAATGGGTTCAGCCAAACGGCCGCGTAAAATGCCTCAATGTCTTCTTCGGCCGCGGCCCATTTCTTAGTGTAGTAGGCCTTGTGGTGGGCCGTCAGTTTGTCAAGCCTGCTTTTGGGAGTTGACTCGCCTCTATCCGATTCAACTAGCTTTTCGAGTTCTGACATCCATTTCTTGTGGAAATCTGAAAAGTTTTGTTCCATCACTTATTATTACTAGTACTATTTGTTTCGAGTGAATTGATAAATATTAGGGTTTATGCAGGAACTATTTATGATTTTGAGTGGACGTGTTTCTTGAATAACACATATGACGCCTACACGTGTTATATATACGTGTCAATTGGAGAACACAAGAAATACACATCACCTATATGTGCTGTTGTACGTGGCGGTTGGAGAACCCAAATTAATCAACAATACCTATCTTTGTGAACCATGTAAACTCGCACTCAAATTTTTTAATGATTCTCTTTTTCTTCCAAAAGTTTCATATTTTTATTACTAATCTAATCCATTTTTTTTATTTTATATTTTTAATGAAATTCATCTTCCACGTTAACAATAACGGTGACAACATTATATTATAATATATATAATTATCAGTACTAAAATATATATTTAATTCAACGATGCATGATTTGTATCATGTGGCGAGATGATTACGTACTTTTTGTAACTACATATATAGTTTGCATTTGTAAAAAATATGAAAATCATCTCGTACTTTTTGTAACTACGTATATAGTTTGCATTCTATGAGCATCGTCTTCTAATAGAATCAATGAATCTATACTCATAGATACTCTAAAGAGATTACCGGAATTTGTAAAAAATATGAAACTTATGATTGATAGCGTCAATCATATGGAATTATCGTATGTCAATCAATTCATGTAGTGCATTACTAATAGGAAGAATTATCGTATGTCAGTTAATCAATAGTTATACTTTCATGTTATGCATTGCTAATTTGAAAAATAAAAAACATCAAAAAACTGATAGAAAAACTTATTTTATTAACAATAAATAAACTTATTTTTATTGACACATATATAATAATATTACGAAAATAACAATCCTAACAACCCAATAAAATAATAGAAGGTGAAGATGAACAAAATTGTAGGGTTAGTCATTTCCGTGACCGGACTCCAGTATTTTATTACATCTAAAGACTAATAATCTTCATCGAATCATTCAATGACGAAACTGTAGTATTTTCCTATATTATATACAGAAAATTGGAAATAGAGTGTTTCGCTAAAACATCTTTTTTATTAAATATAACTATAACTAATTAATAGTTACAAATACAATATACCAATGATTGATTATGTTGATTCTAATAATTACCAATAAGATATAATCACAAACTTATCAAAATGTGTTAGGAAATAATTAAATATCATATGTGTTTT